AAGTCGTGTCGAACTTTATAAATCTTAATATTGCAACAAAACTAAACTTTTCTTGTATAAACAAAAATTTTTCTTAAAATATCAGCGATTTACACAATTGAACTTGCATTTATATATGAAACACAAAATGGATTGATGAAATGTTAATTATGGACTGTCCATTAAGGATGCTACGCTATTATAAATTTTTTTGATTCATCCTTTCTCCTTATGGCACACCTTTCCTCTTAACAAACTTCAAAATGAAACATGCACAGACATTCAACATCACAACGGACGCGCTGGTGGCACGCAAGAAACAACAACTTTAGTAGAAAATAAATGTAAAGATAAAATAGCAATAAACTAGTCATGGCGATTAAATCAAAAATTCCACCAATGTGAAAACATCCACTCTTTTGTTAGTCATGAAACATCCATAGTGGCACTTAGATTAAGATCTTTCTGTAACATTATTCAGATTGTTTTAAACGATTTAACAATTTATAAAATCGAAAACTATGAGTGGACGAGTGTTTGGAATTATGCAACTTCTAATGAAGAGACCTAAATTTTTTGTCGATGAACAAATTTGCAGTGCTCGATGTTGATGTTTGCCTGCTGATACTCAGAGAGAATGCTGAACATTAAAAAGAAAATGTATGCACGCATCACTCTACTTTTATATATTTATGTTATAAAATAATAATATAACATATCATTATAAGATAATAATATGTTATAACATAATATGTAATAACATAATAACACATTTTGTTAACACGTGTTAATATAAGTTTTGATAATGTAACTGAATAACATATCAAATTATTTAGTTCAGCGTTTTGCCATCGTAATGTTATCGTAATTCAACAAAGTTTGAAATTCACCTCTTTAAGCTTACATTTTTTAAATCAGCATGTCTCTGAAGTTATATATAACTAATCTACATATGTTAATGTTTATTAATGTTTATTCATTTTTGTGATTTGTACCATGGTTTCCCAATCTTTTTTGCACCGCGCCCCACATCCACATCCATACTCACATCCACACACACATCCACACACACATCCACACACATATACACACACACATCCACACACACATCCACACACATATACACATTCACACACACGCACATACACACAAACGCCCACACACACACGCATACACCAAACGTAGAGACTGGTGCCTTTCGTGTTCAACGTACCTGTGTTAATTTAAAAAGTACATAAACTTTCGATATTTACACAAATGAAAATGAATTCGAAAAGTTAATTAGGAATGGCAGCACATGACAGGCCTGTTGTGGATTTCTTTATTAAACCCAAAATGTCCTTGTCACAGAATCATTTCACTTCTGATCTTTTTAGGCAAGTTTCATCATAGAAAATTCGGGTTAGTCCATCTGACTCCTGTGCAAATTACTTCAAATCTCTTTACATGTAGAAAATGTCGAATATTTCAATCAATTGTTCCGACTACATCCTGAGACTGAACTGTTCAAATATTAAATATGTGCTAATATATTTTTTAAGTATTTTCACAAGTTTATACCTAGATATCTTTTTTTAGTTATTTTCAGTTTTGGCTATTTTTTTTCTTATTTTTAAAGGATTACTATTGCAAAATCTACTCGATCAACAACAAATGGCATTTTCATATGTGTCTACGTTTTATTAAATACTTTTATTGCTCTAGTTCAGGTTTAACAGTCCCATTCTTACTGGCACCCATTTTTCATTTCACACACCTTCACACACACAATCACAACACACGCACACACAAATACACACACGCAAAACAGCAAAACCACATGCCACGTGTTCAGCAAAATGTAAACATTTTTGGAAAGAAATGCATGGATACCATTTAAAAAATTCATTCATGGCATATGTGACATGTAGAGTTTTTCAGTTCACGTGGGTAGAAGTTGAGTTTATTTGAGCCTACAGACTCACGCATCACAGACGGAAAACAGGTCGTGCATCATTTGAAGTAACAGCCAGCAACTGCTTCCTGGCCAGTTTAATTGCAATTAGATGCACCTAATTATTCTCTTTTCCTAAAGCTGTTTCAACCGCAAAAAATTATTGTTGCAATTTTTTACGGTCTAATAAAAACATTGTTACAAAAATTGATACATTTCATTTTTGAAGCTTCACGAATGGCCTTGATAAAATTTGCATTTTTGTTCAAAAGTTTTGGGAGAGATATGAAGTTTAGTGGTAAAATGTGATTGAAGAGATTTGTTGAACTTGTGAAACGTCATGTTGCTACTTTATTAACGCTACCGCATATGAAATAAAATAATTGCTGCAAACGATCGATGACATCAGGAGCTGGCCATCTCCTAGACAACAGTTGAGACGCAAATGGAAATAATAATTCTTATCTACGCTCATTTGAGTTCCAGCGTGTTTGTGAAACAATGGAACTTGTCGCGATTTATGTCCTGTCGTTGCGTACCGGCACCCTCTAACACTGACTGCTTCTTCAAGATAGCGTCATGCACAGCAGCTATTTTAGCGATAAAACGAAAACACGAAAAATTGAAAAATTATACCAACCTTATTTTTTCAACTTTGGCAAATTATTTATGGCAAAACATCCATCAAAACCGATTGTTATTATATTACATTAGTTTAAATTACTCCTAAAATACTACAAACTGGAAGTAAATGATGGACGAGATGTCTCAGTGGGTACTTTGAAATTTGCAGATGATGTTTTCTGCCGTTATAAAAACACACACCCACACACACACACAAGTCAATTATCTCGTAAAGCTGTTGTTATTATTGTTTAAAAAAAGAGTGAACAAAATGAACGTGGAAGAGGTTCACACGCAATCAAAATGAATTGCTTGAAAAGGTGGCAGTAAGCGTGAGGCGACAATTGAAAGATACGATGAAAAATAAACTCTAAGATTTTAAAATAACATTGTTGAAAGGACCATTAAATCTGAAAGCGATAAAAAAATGAAACAGCAAATGAAGGTAAAAAGTAGAGACAGACGAAGAAAGTTGAGACGACACAGAAATACAGTGAATGCGTCTTTTTGTTGGAGTAATTTTGAGCAAATATTGCTCGTACGTGCCACCCTGCTTTTATTTACTTTGATAGTTGAGTTTTGTTTCCATTTTTTTCTTATGCCCATGCAGTTGTCAGTGAACGACTCATCCTGGTTTGTTTACATGTTAATACGATTTCATGGCATGTATGTTAGTATTTTTTAGGATAAAGGCGTGCAGAGATTAACAAACTTCCCTTTTTCAAACTTATTTACGATTCACTATTTCAATTTCTCAACTAAAAACTTTTGAAATTAAATATATTTTCAATGAAAAAAGGTAAACCAAAATGTAATGGCATAAATATATATATATACACCTAGATAAATATTTGGCATTAATTTTAAAAGTAATTTCTCTATTGTGCTATCTCTTATTGTCATGAACGCTCAATCTTGATGTACGCTTCATCTTCAACTTTATTGCCTCCATATTAAGTCTTCCTCAGATATATTAGCCCGCTTTCTTTGAATCACATTGCCATTATGATATATCTCACATCACCATCATGATATATCTCACATCACCATTATGATATATCTCACATCACCATCAAGATATATCTGCATTTGTTAGTTTTGCTCAGTGCAAGTGCATTTAATAACGCATTCCTAATCGTTATGTAGGATATGTTATAAATTATTTACTCTATTCTCTATTTTTCTACAGAATAAAAATTATATCTTCATGGTAAATAATATGTTAAATCTGTTAAAATCTGCCTTTCATTGACGCATGCAAATACATTGGAGCATTTGCGGTGTACGTGTGTGTGTGTATGGTGTACGTGTGTATGTATGTGTGTGTTTGTGTGTGTCTGTGGTGTGTGAAACTGTCGTGACACAAATGATTAACTGAAGATTGAAATGGAACGAATTTTTATTGAAAACTGGATGAATTGTTTGATTGATAGATTCATTTTAGATGAATGAATGAATTATTACTATTTGTCACGTGAGCCAGTGAAATTATATACAGTGTGGCTCAATTGAAACAAGGATAGTCAATAATTTCACTTACTTTCAAAACGCTGGGCTAAATTAAATGACATTTTTGCTGATTGTTTTGCAAGTCTTTAAATTAAAATAATGTAACAAATTTTGTGATATACAATGCTTCAGATTGCCCTGAAATAATAATTTTTACGGTGGGTCTAATTTTGTTGCATTCTGTAAAAATTAAACTCTGTGGAACGCGGAGAGCAGTAAAACAAATGATACAGAATAAGAATCTTTTAACGATTCTGGGCAGCAGTTTTTACATTCGTTCCACTTATGCCATATTTGCATGCCACCAGCAGTTGTTGTCTTGCTTACACCAGTAGCGTTAGCGATAGTTAGGTTTGTTTATTTTAATGCTTACTTGAAGTTTGGTTACAATCATGATGGGTAGAGGCAAGTCTTGATTTGTAAAGTATTTCAAAGAAATAAACTTTAACATTAATCTTTTAGAATAAGATTTAATACTGAAATTCAGATACCAACATTTAATTATGGGACATTAGTAATATAATATTTCAACCCAGGATTAATTAATATTTGATCATACCTGCGATTAACGAGAGTAGTTCGTGAAATTTTGTTGAGTTTAAAATTATTTTAAATTCTGGCAAAAAACAGACAGACAAACGGATAATTGAAAACTAACATAACCATGCATGCATTCATGTTCATTTCCTTCAAAACCAAACAAAAAAGGCTTAAAATGATGTTCACGCGATGTTTACACACGTCACCTACAAATTTTCTTTATTCCTTTCAGTAGTTTTATTTGTTGATATTCTTTTAGGTTTCTTCTTTGAAAATATATTTGATAAAAAAGGAATGTACATATATATACACACAAATTTGCAAACGCATGGACAATATAACTAGGCAATATTAATTTACCGCCATAAAACAAGAAGGCATCACTAATGCATCACAAAATATTGCTTTCATTATAATGGAGCATAATTTAAACAGCAACAGCGGCTTCTTCCAGATAATATTGGAGTGGAGGGAGAAGGAGAGGAGGTGCGTAGGAATTTATGACGTCAATTAGCAGCACCTGCCCACCTACATAGCGGGGATTAATAAGCTACATTGTAGTTCTTACTACAATTTCTCTTTCTTACTTTATGGTTTTTGTTTTTAATAAATATTGATGAATGAATAAATTTTTAAAGAAACGAATAAACAGAGAATCAACAACTAGATGAAATTGTTGTTTGTAAACAATAGAATGTAAATTTTGGTCGTTGAAGGGAAACTTGTAAAAGAAAATTTTTTGTTCACTGAAATCGAATTAAAAAGATATACTATCAATAAACAGTTAACATTCCGATACAAATATGTTTATTGTTTATCTGCTTTAAAAATAATTGTTTTAGATAGAAAGTGATTTTAGCAGCAGAAAAAGTATCGGAAACTCATTTAAAAAAAATCAAATAAACAAAAAAGAAATAGAAAATATGACTTGAAGGAAAAATGTTGCAGAATATTTTTAAATTTGCAGGAAGTTTGGAGTTGATGCAAGGCAATGAATTCCGTTGAAAAGTACGTCTGAAAGAAAGTTCATCGCCTACACGCATGTTGATGATGTTGCGCTGGCTGGCACGTGATGAATGATGATGAAGTGTGGAATGATGTGGTGATTGCAAGCTGATGACAAATGATGGAGAAATTTGGGATGATGTTGTTTACATGAACATTCACGTGTTTTCATTTTAAAACTGCAAATGTTACTTACTTGTTTACAAATGCATACATGTATGAGTCTAAATTTTATAAAGTTTTCCTTAAGTGGTACTTAATTGCACTGGTATCATGTTTTTGTACACGCACGAGCAAATAACACAAAGGATGTTGCACAAAAAACACGAATACGAACACAATCAAGCAAAACATACACACAGCCATTTAGGTAAAACCGTTTGGGTACAAACACAAGTACACAGAGTGACTCACACAATCACACATTTACAGATGTGTGATTGTGTGAGTCACAAACACATTCCCATATTCGAAGGCGTGCAATCACATGTTCATTACCACACATAAAAATTTTCTAGACGGAATCCTCAAATAGAACATGTACACACATACACTCACACGTGCACTCACACACACACTCGCAAACAAGAACACTAAACAAATGCCGACGCCAAACTGAGGCACCGTTTAACAAACGTTCATCACAGCTTCAATAAGAATTCAAGCAAATAAAAAGAACAGATTAATGCGTCAGAGCCTCTTTGGAGTAATGTTGCCTGCAAGTTTGAAAATTCGGCCAAACAATGAATGATGTTAACAAATGATTTTACTGGCTTAACTAGAGTTTTCTGAATAACTCAAAAATAGAAAAGTTTGAAAATTAAACGCATATAAGACATGATTTGAATTAGTTTAAAAAAATTTAGTGTAAAGATTATGAAAATCAAATTGGATAATAATTTTTAATTAATTTGTTAAACAACTCAGACAATTTGCAGAAAAGATTTCAGTGAAATCACACGTAGTTAACAATTATCAATTAAAATAAAATGTAGATTGTCAACTATGATGATGCAAAGATGAAAAACAGAAAATATATTTACTGTGTATGTATAAACAAATGAAGCAACAAGCGAATTTATAAAATAAAATAATGTTGAATCCAAAAATAATGGGTAATAACTACGTGAATAAATGAGCTAACAAATAAAATTAAAAAAATGTATGAAGATGGAGTGAATGAGTGAACAATAATTAGCCGATAAATGGTTAGAATGCAAACAAAATATTAATAACTAAATGACCTATGAATTAATGAATGATTGAATGACTGAAGATGCAAAATTTAACATCAGAACATGACGTTACGAGGTTCTAATTGACTCTTCAAACGTTTCTTCATTTGGTCTTCCAGCGTAACGATATTTTCCTTTCGTCGTGCGTGTTATGTGAATTGCATTACTTTGCATTTCGGCATGACTTTGTTTGTAAATTATCAATTCATTGATTTTGTAAAAAAATTTAATTGACAAATATGCTGATGTAAGTTAAAAAAAAGTTATTAAGTTGCACTTGATTTGGAGGAAACCCATTTTGACGCTTAAGTTTTCGTTTTAAAATTTTTTTCTATCTCGTTTAAACTTTATTTCTAATTTCTCTCAGTTCCAAGTAATTTATTAGGTTAAATAATCTTGTCAAAGCTTAATGAAAGTGGTTTTAAGATTTTTGAACAAACATAAATATTTAAGATAATTGTTTACGAAAAGATCAAAAAATTTTCGTTTCAAAATTATATTTGCTCCGCTTTTTCTCATTTTTTATCGTTCCTATTTTTTTAAGTTTTCAAAAATTCCAGTTTTCTTTTTTAAAACAAATCTTTTTTTATCATAATCTTTTTGTCTGTTTTTTCAACAAATTCTACACTAGTTTAAAAGCAATAAAACTAGTGGCAAAACATTGGAAACAAATAATTCACAAAGTTGGGATGAGCAAGTAGAAAGTAAGCCATGATAGAAAATAATTCACAAACTTCATTTATTCACACGCCTTCAAAATTTTCATTTGCACGGTAAATGAATGTCCATTAACCCGATCAATCAATGTGACGAAAGAAGAGATGTTCTTTAATTATCTCCACCAATACAACATACGTTCGTTCACCCACTCAACATACGTTCGTTCACCAACACAACATACGTTCGTTCACCAACACAACATACGTTCGTTCACTAACAGTACATACGTTCTTTCACCAACACAACATACGCTCGTTCATCACCACAACATACGTGCGTTCACCAACACAAAATACGTTTGCTCACCAACACAACATACGTTCGTTCACCAACACAACATACGTTCGTTCACCAACACAACATACGTTCGTTCACCAACACAAAATACGTTCGTATTATGATGAACAAACTCAGTTCTGGATTACCACAATTCCGGATTACGCTTAAAAAATATTATCTGAGATGCGCAAGCCTCTCATTAATTTCAATGGTGCTGGCAGTGTTGATCGCATCGATTGGTATTAATCTGTTAAAAAACAAACGGACAACTTAGAAGAAGCTATTTTCTTAGAAAATTTTGAATTAAATTCAAAACTATTTTAATTCATATAAAAAATTTTGTTTTGTGATCGTGCAAAATAATTTTGATTGATAAGAAACTAAAACTAAAATTTGTGTTTCTTTAAATGAAAGTTCTTTCTTCTAACATACCTTCCAATATTTTAATCAACAGTTTTATAGTGAAAGAAAAAGACTGAATGCTGGTGATCGTCTGCTTTTGTTAGACTGCTCTGATTTAATCTCGGTTCTTCATCTTCTGAGGCGTTTTATGGCCGCGAGAGAGGAAATGAAAAAGAAAGTAAAGAAAAATCAGGTTAACCACCAATCATTTCAACTGGGTTTTATAAAAAGCAGCAAATTTAAAATAAATTTAGTTTTCAATGTTTCAAGATTAAATTGCGATCCAATTCAACCAATAAATTGCAAGCACTTGCATGACAATTTAAATATTCATCTGAATTAGACGAGTCTTTGAAAACCGCAACCGTTTACGACTAACCGACTGATACTGATGGAAGGAAACAGCAACCGCCCAAAACCGCGCTGACTAAAAATTGCAACCACGTCAACCAAAGTCGCAAAAAATTAGGAAGATTATTGTTGAACTGTACAAAATAAAATTTATAAGAACAATTGTAGCAATTGAGCAAGCATTTTAATTTGGATATAATTATGAAACAAATAAATGCACTGATTAACCATACATCCTCATTATCTTAATCATTCTCATCAGTAAAAAGTTTACCTTATGCGTGTAAAACACTAACATATACTAAACTAAACAGACTTGACAACAACACTAACCAAAGTAAATTGTAGTCAGAGACGCTTTCGAAAGATTTTTATCAAAATCAGTCAATAGTTTGCAAAAATTTTGTAATAAAATTTGGACTGGAAAAATAAATCTGTCAAATTTTGTACAAAAATAATGGTTTTAAATAGTAGGTAAAACTAAAAAATGTGCGATACGGAAAAGAAGCTGCCATTTTTTTTAAACCAAATTTAATCTCCTCTCAAGAATTTGTGGTCACACTATTAATTTTATTATACAATGTGTCACTGTGTTTAATTCATTATCCACAAAGTTATTTAATATGGTATCTAAGTTTTCTCATCAAACATCGAATCATGACTCTTGCGATTAATAAAAAATTATTTCAAAAACAACGAGCTTACGCCTAAAAAGTGTTTGAAAATATATATTTAAAAATTATTGCAATGGTTTTTACAAAATATTAGTTTTTTATGGTTATTTTATTATTTACTAAGCCTTTTTTTGAACAGGTAGGTTTATTCATGATAATAAAAATATCATGAAAATGATACCTGAAAAAGCAATGCCTTTAACTATATCAGATTTCATAAAGTTGAAATGCCAAAAATTATTTATACGTATTAATTATGAAAAGCAACTCAAATAAGTTTTCAGTTGACATTTAAAAGCACCAAAAGTTGAACATTTTCGATTATAAAGAGGTAGCTGATTCCAACTTGAGCATCCATGTTAACAGATATTTCTCTCCAGCAGTCTGCTCCGACATCTCACTTGTACCTACTCTTTTGCCGGCCCACCTCAGCGAGGATTTCAGCTGGACATCTTCAGCGCGGTCTATAGTGTGCAACAGTTTGAAGATCGAACAACGAGATTTTAATTAATAACTTTGTAAACTAATAATATTTTTAATTTATTAAAAACGTCATTATTATTAATGTTACTTTTATAAGTAATCAACTAAAAACATTTTTTTGGGCTATATAGGGAGTAATTAGACACCCTTCGATGTTAAAGTCACCAATTGAAAAAAGTTTGTGTCCATTTGCAAGATAGTTTAGTATTGTTTCCACCTACTCAATAAATACAACAAAATCGGACGAGGATGTTCAGTAAGCATTCGTAACAATGAATGATACTTTTGCATTCATAATATTAATGATTTCTTTAGTAATTGATTCATAGATTGTGTCATCTTTAAAGGAAATATCCTTTCTAGTAATATACTTAATTGTGTCTCTAACAAAAAAGCCACGCCCCTTCCAATACCATCAACTCAATTCTAGTTTACGAATCGGAAATCATTGAGTGAATTTATTAAGTCATTTCCAGAATTCAGCCAACTTTCGACACAAACATAAAATAACGAATGAAATCTCAATATCCCGTAGCAACAATTTTAGATCGTCCATCTAATGTATGAGACTTCGGCAATTTAGACCAAGCAAATTGAAATGTGAGTTGATAGAAGGTGATAACAATTTCATCAACTTGGGTTCGTAATGTTGGCAGCGATAGAAAGACGCCTTAAATTCACTAAAAATATCATAACGATCATCAAAATGTTGAACATAAACTCGTTTAAAAATAAGTTATTTAATTGTCTTTTTGTTGAATTAAACCTGACGCATCAACGTTGAATAAATTTTTTTGAACATTTCAATTCAATACATTTTTACATTTTTTTCCATTTAAATTATCAATCTACTAAAATATTTACACCTTAATTCAGAATTTTTCAAATCCATAATAAAAATGAATTTCGGTTTGGAATAGCATTAATTGGGAGAACAAATGCAATGAACAGATGAAATCTTTTAGTTATTAAGAATGATGTGATTCGTATTAACAATAGAACATCCATCTCCTTCTCTCTCTCAATATTTCATAACATTTCTTTGATGACTTTATGCTTCAACTCCTTAATAAATTGCTCCATTATGAATAATTACCATCTACTATTCTGCGTCGATTCATTGCGTTTCTAAACAGTTTTAGAAATAATGTTTTAATTTACAAAATATTTTAGAAGATGAAAAAAATTTTTAAGTACATATTCTGAATGAAAATTTTTTCCTGGATAGAAACCCGTCAACTTGAATCGCCGCTCTGTAATTACATCTCGTTAAAACCTGGTGATGTTTATTAAGAAAGTTAAAACCCAAAATATTAATATGCAGTTTGTATTTTACGCATAAATTATTCTATTTTGTTAATTTTAATATTTTTATTCATTGTTGCCGAGAAAGATCAGGACAGTTTATTTTACTACTGCCGATTGAAAAAATTGAAATGTCTAATAAATGATGTTTGTTGCAAAATGTAAACTGGCTCAAGTGAACGAACATACAAAAGTCACCATTCAAATAATAAAAATTTATCTTACATTCAAGTTCAATATTGTCAAATGTTCCCGATACACAATAATTATTATAATGGAGAAACGCTTATAAAATCAATTGAAATCCGACTGTATAGGTGAGTGATGAAACAAAATGATTAGAGGCATCTATGTCAATTGAAAGTATTTTCAAGGTCTGGTAAGAAATAGATTAAATAATGATTTCAAACAACTTGAATAACTTGACTACAAAAATTGAATTAACGGGGAATGAAATTCAAAATTTAATTAGCAAACTGCTGGCAAATGTTTATGTACAATGGAATTATTAAAGTTGAAGTCATTTGAATGTGTGCGACAAGAAAATTAAATGAGCGGAACATGAAAACTTTTCAAGAATGTTGCAGAGGGTCTTCGAATATGATGGGCTGCAACAATTTCTGAGGTTTCGATGGCTGAATGAATGTTGAAAACTGAAAATTTTGTTGAGAGTTTTGTTGAAGGTGTGGAAAAATTTGTTGTGAAAATTCAACTGCTTGCTGTGTTTTTTCGTTGCAAGGAAATGGCGAATCTGTGAGTTTTTGTTGAATTGTTGAGTTATCGGCATGTGGAAACGTTGAAATAATTTTCTTATTAGATACAGGCATTTGATATTGTTGAAAAAAAGACATCTTTTGTTGCTGTCTTAAATTGGATGGATGAGTTGAATTTTGTTGAAATTCATGCGATCTACTTTGCTGTTGGTTAAAAGTTGATTGTTGATGGTTTGCTGTTGACAGAAGTTGTTGTTGTTGTTGATGATCGTTTTGTTGTTTTTGTTGCAGTTTCATGTGGATGTGAGTTGCTATCAAGGATGGGAGGGCCTCGATTTGAGCCTGAGTTTTGAATGAATTCAGTCATCTGTTTGTCTATTTACTCCTACTAAGTAAATGATGGCAGTATTAAATTAATTTTTGTAATAAATTTAGCTGAAGTTAAATAAAATGCAAACTTGTATTCAACATAATTTTATAAAAAAGGTTGTTCTGTAATCTATTTATACCAGGCATTAGATAATTTATGATAAATTTTATTTCATCTTATTGGTAAAAAATCCACGATTACATTTCAACAATGAATGTTTTTAAAATTACTAAGCTTTTTAATCAATTTGATAAAATTTGCTATAATGAGTTTGATAGGTTTTGTTGAAGATTCAAGTAAAACAAAACAAAATGAAATAAAATTTTATGAAGTGATTTATCGTTATAATTTCAAATAAAATTTTTTTGAAAAGTGAATTCTATGTATCTAAAAAATTAAAGATTTTATTCTTAATAAAAACCAGACTGATTTTTTTATAATTTCAGAGCAAACAGATAAATTTTCAGATAAATTTCACAATTTATGTGCAATCGCGAAAATGCCATTTTGCAGTGCCCAATTATCATTTATATTTTCAAAACTAACAGACTGTACGTGTTAAATTAATTTTCTTGCTGGAAATAACAACAACGTTCAACTACAAATAAAAGCCAGATGAACATGAAACATATATAGCGTGTTAGCCAGAGGACTAGAACCGCCGACGTAATCATTTAGTTGGTGCTATTTGTTGACATGCCTCGAAGAAACGATGAATAAATTAATGCTATTTGTTGCAGAACATAATAGGTTGGTCAAAAACATCACGATGATGTATTTGCATGTATTATATTTGTTAATTTTTGTATTGAGTCTCTGATGAAGATGAAATGTCTCGTGCTGAATATTTGCAAGATGATGCGAAGTTGCCCGTAGCGATGTGTGGCAATTAAATTAAACAATCACAATAATCAACGGTGATGTTCATCGTTATAGAGTGATCCTAACAAGTCATTTACTACGATAGCATATTAAAACTTAATTAAAACTTAAATCCTAAATGTTGAAAAAAAAACAATTGCATTATGATTTTGTTTATATTTTCAATTTGTTCGTCAGGATTACTATAGTTTTTGATGGTATATTAGATTGACCGGGTTCAAATGCTGTCTTCCACCCAAAATTTTAAAGAATATATAAGCATTGTTGGTGCCATGGCATTTGGTAATTGCAACTAGATGCTGCAAAAGAGGTGGCGTGAATGTTCTACACTGTGCAGACATCGGCACAAAAGTTAATTCGCAATTAAGCAAACAACAATTTTTTTTAAAATTTCATTAATTTTTTGGACAGGTTTCTTTTAGCTTTTTGCACGTTCAATTTCTCGTTTCTTCGTAATGTTTATAAATAAATGATTGCGTAACATTTCAAAAACTTTGCAGTGTGTCTGCTTCATTTTCAACATACAGGGTAGCTTGTAAATATTTAATGAGAACATATGAAAATTTGATCAAATGTTTGTTAACATGAGTGAAACATTTGGGCAGCAGAAGAAATGACATGTTGGAAAGAAATGTAATATTTGAAAAGAAGAAAAGATGAATGTTGGACTCTCGCGAGAGCACTTTACTTATAAATAATGTCAAACGTAGTAATAACTATGCAGAATACTGCCTAGAATGATTGGGAATAGAAAGATTTGCTTCTATATGCATTGTCGTGCCATGTGAGCCAATTAATTGCTTCGTTCATCAATAAAGTCAGCCTGCCTGCATTAGATTAAAGGTTTGATTTCTAATTTTAAAATCTAGAGTCCAATTTATCCAAATAACGAACAGTTTGTGATATGACCAGAGTCTACAAAATTTGCAATTGCATTATAAGGTTTTATAATGTTATTTTGCAATTAAAGGTTTCTTATTATTTGTTAATTCAATTTGTGGTGTTTTCTGGTGTTGGAACGTGATGTCAGTTAATTTAAAAAAAACCTGGTTTGGTTAAATTTTAACTTACATGCTAAAAAATAAGTACACTATAAATCAAACACAGATGCAAGTCCCGTTCAATATAAAATTCAATAATAATTAAATGATAACACTATCGCTCTATTACTATTGAAGAATTTAAAATAGTAAGAATTGGAATAAATTGGAAAACCCCAGAAATTGCGTAAAATAAATTGGAAGAATAAAAGATGTAGAAGAAGTAAAAGAAGAGAGCGAAGAGGAAAAAAGCGAGAGATGGAGAAGAAAGGAGTGGAATGGAAAGAAATGTATTAAACACAAAAGAATTCTCGTTTGAAAGACGATTTACAATGCGGAAGGTTTTAATGTGATTCAGCCAATATCTCACATAAATAAACTTTCGTTTATTGCTTTTGTATATTAGTATGCTTTGCATGACTTTGTCGTTAGAGTCAGCTGAAGATATATCTTCTTTCTATTTGCGGTTGATTCTTCTATCTATTTACACATCTATCCATCTATCCATCCATCCATCCATCCATCCATCCATCCATCCATCCATCCATCCATCCATCCATCCATCCATCCATCCATCCATCCATCCATCCATCCATCCATCCATCCATCCATCCATCCATCCATCCATCCATCCATCCATCCATCCATCCATCCATCCATCCATCCATCCATCCATCCATCCATCCATCCATCCATCCATCCATCCATCCATCCTTCAAATTTTCGTACTGGTAAAAGCAAGTATCATGAAATTTATTCTAATTTTCATATGTTTTCAATAATTGAATGGGGCAGTAAATATAAATGAGACGGCTCTTGGAAAACCATTCCAATCTTGCAAGGATTTCAAACTCAAATTCAGACTAATGTTTCAATCGAGATAACTTAATGAAATGAATTTGTTTTGCAGCAATGGTTTTTTCACATTTTCGAAGCTTTTTACCAAACGCGAGTTTATTGTTGAAAAGTTGGCATCGTATAGCATGTTAACATCGTAATTTAATTGTAACTAGAAGAATTATCCAAACGAAAAATTCACTGTAACTCCAAAAATCCAGAAATGTTTTTCGATTATTTAATAGTTTAAGATATAAAATCTAATGTAAACTGTTTAAAATCATTTAACCCGAAGCAAAGAATAGTTATAAATAATAAACAAACAATGAAGAAGTGTTTTAATTAAATGAACAAACAAACAAACAAACCAATATACAAACAAATAAATAAGCAAATTAATTAATTAATTAATATTTAAATAAATAAATAATTAGATAAAAAGAATGATGAACTTGTAGCTGAAGCAATTGTGGCTCGAATCTGTCTGCCTTGTTCTCCAGCAACAGTTGACGGGCGCTCATCTCGACCACAGTCTCCAAGATGTTGCTTTGTGTCTGTTGTTGTTGGGTTTGTATAGTGTTGTTGGGTTATATGGTGTTGTTGCTGGATCTTATGGTGTTGCTGTTGTTGGGTTTTATGTAGTTGCTGGGTTTTATTTAGTTTTTTTGTTGTGTTGTGTTTGTGTTGGTTGCAAGTGTGTGTTATTACAATTTTTTTTGTTGCTGCTTGTCCGTGTTCTCTCTTCAGTTCCTACGTGAATGTGCTGTTGTTGTTGTTCCTCCGGTTGTTGACTTCCTATAGAGTTGGTACTCTGGCTCTAATATTGGTGAGGTCTGATTCACTCAAACTTGTGTTGAATGCATTAGATGGGTGCATTGTATTCATGTTAAATGTTTTTTAATATTCTTAATTTTGTTTTTATTATTTTGTTGTAAATTGAGAAAAGTTTAATAACAAATTTTTTTTTCGTAAATTTGTACCAGATGTAAAGCGTTTCGTTTCAGCAATCGATAGAAGCGTCATTATATGAATGAATGTATACACGCGCGCATGTTTGTTGTTTGCCTGCCACATAGATCCAGCAGTACGCAGATGGCATGCATGTAAACAAGAGAGACTCAGTTGAGTGCAGGCACGGAGATCAAGTGAATCAACTCTAATCTGCTAACCAATCAGGTGCCGTACTTACGATGACGACGATACAATTCATGAATAATTTGTGAGATAATGTGGCTGATGGTGGAGAGTTGCATGCTGGCTGGTTTACTTTTATCTCTTCATCTTCAATGAATCATCTGGCATGACGTTTTACAATTGACAAACATGCGTGTATGCCATTGTTGGGTTTTCGTGAATATGTGTGTATGTGAACGTGCGTATGTCTTGTTCCTTGCGAATGTATGTGTGTGCGATACTGTGCTTTGCTTGCAGGATGTGTGTGCTGTGCGAGCGAATGAAGCAGTGTCTATGTTATTATACGATGTGTCCAGGTTCATTTACACCATATTAATAATTACACCATACACAGAATCTTTTCAACGCTGAAATTTATAGTCTGCATGTTTTTGTGCAAACGTAAGCAAATTGCAAATATTCATGCACATTATGCGTATTATACGTATTATGTGTATGCATGCATGTATGTATGTATATGCATGTATGTATGTGTTTGATTGTGCATGTATATACTTATGTATTTATGTGTATGCATTGTATGTTTATGTATTTATGCATAAATACATGTGTGAGCAGTTTATAGTTTACAGATAAGTATGTCTGTGCATATTATCGTACGCACGCATGTAAGTGGGTTTATGCTGTTTGCGCGTGTGCTGTGCGTGTTATCAAGAGTATGGGAGAATGACTTGCGTGAAAGCGAGTACGTGTGTTATTGCCATTGCTATAACGGAGCCCCATCAACTACGGTTAAGATGATGATGATGATTGTGGTGGTGATGATGATTGTGGTGGTGATGATTGTGGTGATGACTGTGATGGTGATTGTGATGATAATGGTTGTGATGGGGATAACAATGACAAATGTAATGATGGTAACGATGGTGGTGATATAGGCGGAAACTGTGATGATGAACTAAACATGGGATGATGATGTTCAGGCCTGCGTGAGTGTGTGTGCTTGAGAATTTAATGATTATAAATGTTTGGCGATTTGTGTGTGAACGTTTCACTTGTTTATAAGTGTGGTGTGTGTTGTTGTGACGTTGTGATGATGTCTTTTTTGTTGTTGTGTTAAATGTTGTGTTGATTTTGTGTTGCTAAGGTGTTTAGTTGTGTTGTCAAATTATTGTTTTGTTGTTGTATGAATGTTTGTTGTTGCTGTCTGAATGTCTGATGTTGATGTTTTAAGAATGTTTTTTGTTGATGTTGTAGTCCGAGTGTTGTCGGAATGTTTGTTGTTGACGTTGCCTGGATGTTTGTTGTCGTTGTTTGTCTGAATATTCGTGTTGTTGTTGTCTTAACGTTTGTTGTTGTCTGAATGTTTGTTTTTGTTGTTGTTGTCTGAATGTTTGTTTTTGTTGTTGTTGTCTGAATGTGTGTTGTTGTTTTCTGAATGTTTGTTGTTGTTTTCTGAATGTTTGTTGTTGTTTTTTGTCTGAACGTTCATTGTTGTTGTTGTCTAAATGTTTGTTGTTGTTGTCTGAATATTTGTTGTGGTTGTTTGTTTTAATGTTTGCTAGTTGTTATTGTTGTTTTAGTCTGAATGTTTGTTGTTGTTTTAGTTGGGTTTTTTGCTCGATGATAATTTACCCCAATGTTGTTGTTCACAATTTTACGGATAGCTGACTGCATCGCCAATGTTAATGGAATGTTTGATGGATCATTCGTCAGAAAGCATGCAAATAATCGTTAGAAACACTTCACGTTAATTTGAGTATCATGCAACAGCCATCGCATCATTTCTATTTTTTCTCGCGGATGTCGTCGTCGTCACGCTAGTTGTCAGTGTTGTTGTTGTTGATGTCTTCAATGTAGTTGTTATTGTTGATGTTTTTGTGTTGTAGTTGTTGATGATGATTTTAATGCTGTAGTTGTTGATGTACTTTATGTTGTGGTAGTTGATGTTTTCAATGTTGTTGTTGTTGATGATTTTAATGTTGTGGTTGTTGATATGCCAAACAAGAAGTTAATCACAATGACAACATGACGGCTGATATAATATATATATATATAATGAATGATGATTCAGGGTTTAACAAGATGATGACGAATAGTGATGAATAAAATATCATAATAGATAATAATAAAGATGATATTTTGAATAAAATCTGATAAAAATTGAGATTAATAATGATGGGTTGATGAAACCACCCCAAACTAACTTTAGCCATATCGATGAGAGAGTTCGTGCTGTCGTTCAACTTTCTCTGCTCCATCTTTACCTGACGCAAACTGCCGATCGGTCGACGTGATGATTTATGTTTAGAATTTAATTTTAATCCACTCTAACCTTTTCAAAATTAATTTTAATCATTAAAATAGATATATTCTGTTAATTTTATACTGGATATAAAGATAGCAGTAGAGTTATTGGCTCTGAATGCTTTGAGAACTTAACAAAAATGGGTATTTTCGAATTTTTATTTTTCTTTTCAAATATTTGGCTGCGTGAAAATGCGACTTTTAATTCTTTTTCAATTTTTTTTTAATTTGTTTGATATGAGTTTAACTGAGTACTCGACAAATAACTTTCTCTCGTAAGCTGTGTTGCACTGAACACGTTCACATTAAGTCGGTTGAGTTTTGCTCTTGTAAGAAAATCAATTTGTTAGAAAATGCCGATGATTTGAAAATTTGAAGGATTTATAACGGTCATTATGAATAAAAACATTTAAAATTGAAATAATCATTGAAAAATAATTACTTTGAAAAAAATGTTGACTTTTAAACGTATTTTTGAAAGATTAATTAGAATAAAAATGATTTTAAAATGAAAAAAGTAGAAGAAATTTGTTTTATATTTGAAGCTTCTCTTTTAATAAACATCAACATAAAACAAACTGCGACTAAATAAAGTATAATAAAAATAAAATAAATCCAACTTTAATGAGCATGTAATAAAAAATGGCTTTCAGACAGAAAGGACGAACCTGTGTATAGCCTGCAGGAACTTTCGTTGGTGCGTCCTTACCCTTTCGCATTTGACCTTCTTTGCAAGGGTGGTGTGTTTGTAGATCAGCCAGGTTTCACGCAAAACATTGGCTGCCGCGTTCTTCAACTGTAATATTTCAAAAGATACTTTAATAATAAAATTATAATTAATTTAAAATAATCATTCATTTTTAATAATAATAATATTAATTATTATTTAATTATTATTCTAAATCTAGTTTGCTTGTTTAAAAATAAAATGATTTTTAAACAAAATATTTTGGAAAGATTGAAAATTGTCGAGTTTTGGTGATTTTCATTTTTTGTTTTATCTATTATTTATTTTATGAGCTTGAATGAAAGTGGAGTTCATAAAAAATTTGAAAAAATTTGTTAACATTTCAAACACAACGCTTGGATAATTAACTTTGATGTTAGTAATTAGATAATAATTGGGCATCTTGTAGATTTAAAATTATCGAAACTTTAACATTTCTTTTTTCTTCCTGATTGGGTAAGTGGTCCGTTGGGCCCTCTGGTCAGTTGTGTTAAATAAAATAAAAAATAATGTAATGTAAGTATAAATAACATGACAAAACTGAGTGCGGTTATGAAAAATGTATAGTGTTTATTGCATTTGATGTTGAATGAAGGTTTGTTTCGTTCTGATTTTACACCACTCTGGTCGTATTTATGTACTTATTGCCGGCAAGGTCATTCTTTGCTTTAATTATTTATTCATTGGTTTATTAACTCCATTATATTTTCATTCTTTCATTAATTAACTGATTCAATCAATTTTTCATTCATTTGTTCTTGCTATCATTTATTGTTTATAATTTTTTATTTTTGAACTTATTTTGTACTCATACAATAAACTTTTTATTTTATTTTTTTTTCACCACATGGCGTCCATTAATCTTTCATAATGTTTTCTTAGGAACTTATTTAAATTTTTTTTCTCAAATACAGGGAATTTTATTATCAAGTTTAGTAGAAGGAAAATAGAATATATATTGTAATAGCAGCGATAATGATGAGAAGTCAGTAACATCATTGGCTTGATGATAAGTTCCACATGGCTGCTTGCATGTTTGTATGTTACGTACATGTATGTTTACATACTTGTACGTAACTTGTATGTACGTACATGTACATCTTTGTATGAACATGTATGTATGCATTGGTATATGTAAGTGTCCAGTCAGTACATGCATCTATGTAAATGCGTGCATAAATGTACGTACATGCAGATACTTATATATACGGTTTGTTCTGCCAGCGATGTGACTGCTTAATTTTTGAAGCTGTTATGAAGAATTTTAATTCGCAATCACATTCAGCAAATAACTTTAGAATAATATTAATCCATTTAGTTCTTTTTAAATAATTAAACTATTAATTAGCGAGTTCATACTATTGAGAGTTTAAAATATAAATTATCGTAACTGTTGATTTCGGGTAGTTTATCATGTGGTTTTCAGAATATATAGTCAACTTGATCCGACTACATTTGACAAAACAAGTAGATATTTATTGCTGACAACTGCTGAGCAGCATTTTTTTGAAGCATCATTTTATGAGCAGTATGAGGTGGGAATAACTGAGTTCATTTGAAAATTTCATTGCCAGTTTTGGCTTCAGTTGAAATTGAATTTGTCTCAAATATCAAATTAAAATGAATTCATTGCAGTCACGTTCCAGCAATTAATTTCAATAAACTGAATTAAATAAATGAAGAAAATTAATCTGCCGAAAGAAAATTCGATTGAGATTTTAAATGAAAGAAATTAATTTGGTTTTTTTGCCACACAAATTCTCAATTGGAAATTTAAAATTGCTAATAGTTATAATTTTGGCATTTTTCTAAAAAAAAGATGTGGTTTTTGATCTTCATCTTGTTCTTAAGATGTCTCTTTCCCAAAGCACTCGAATATTGTTGAGACATACGTTCTCTGCTATCGATTTTATTTGCATGAACAAATGCAAATTCAGCCTTGTAAGATTGTTTTTTTGTTTATGTCTCAATGAAATAGAACTTTTGAGTGAATGAAATACAAAAGCTAAGCAAATAGTTGAACTTTGTAATAAGATTCATACATTTCTTTTCTTCATTTAAAAACATTTACATTTTATCGTTTCATGAATTATCCTCTGAAGAGCAGCTACCTAGAGTGACTGACATAAGGAATAAAATTGTATGTCAGTGAACACTTCGCAACTACTCTCACATTAAAATGATAATTTTTCTGAAATTGTTTATTCATAATAACATTTAAAAAAAACCATAAAACTCTATGCATACGCGTTTACAATTATAAACAATACGTGTTTACAATTATAAACACGTTTATAACGTCGACTGTTTGCTATTATGAATGAAAATCTGAGTGCGACAGGCCGTTCAGTTGATCCAGGTGTATATGCGATCATTCATCATGATAATATGCATGAAATGAACGAAACACGTTAAAAGCTACATCATCCTATTTTACAATATTGTTATTATTGACATCAGTATTAACAATGACGTTGTTAATGTCATCATCCTACGGTTATCGCGATCACGATCGTTGCTGATTGTCCGACGACACATTAAAAAATTTATTTTTATAAATTAATTATTAATTTCAAATTTATTGTTAATAGTTAACAATTGTAGTTTGTATATATTCAAAATTAGCAATCTAATGAAAATGAAATAGTTGGTGGAAGAATGAAACTATTTTTTTTCAGTAGAAAATGGACCATAAAATATTTCATTTATAAAGATTTTTTGTCAACTGATGTTCATTCTTTGTCATATGTAGAAAATTTTTTAAATTTTAGCAAATTTTGTGCGATTGAAAAACAAAACTAACATTTTTTTACAGATATTACCAAGTTATTTTTTAAAAAGTTGATAAAATTAAAATGTTTTGTAGCTTGTGTTCAAATTCCGCCAAACGTTAAACTTAAAAAGTACTTTCTTGGCCCTAACTGAAAATGAATAAAATTCTCACCCGTTTTGAAAGTTGGTTGTCCATCATGAAGTTGTGGACGTGCTTCTCAGCTCTGGTCAGCTCCAACTTCCTGGCCAGTACCGCGACGACCAAGGCCGTGCATCCTGAGCCCTGCAATGATAGCCATTCATCAGAACACGAGCCATCGAAGCAAAACAGCGCACCCCATTCAGGCTAGGAAACCGTTACGTTACCACTCTCTCTTTCATAGCAAGAGAATCTATCACAACACAGCATCCGTCAAATATTTGCATATATCCAAACATCATTACCAGACTGTTAAAAAAGATTAAAAGAATGAAAAAATTGAAACAATAAATGCGACGAATAGATCAAATCAACAACGGCAGAGGGAAAAATTGGGACGAACAGTTCTAAAATTGTTTGAAATATTTATTTAAGAAAAAAATGTCTTTGAAACTTACTGATGATTATAATAAGGGCAAACTAAAAATTCGTCTGATTGCCATGCAAGCCAGGATTTTCTGAACAACATTACCGAACGATTTGACTGGGCAGTTTGATGGGAGTACTTGATTGATTATTCAGATTGACTGAGAAGTATGGCACATTCGATACACAAATGCATCAACATTTATTTTTATCTCTACCTATCAAATCGACTTTCAAACTTTCAAACTGATGGCTCTGACAGAACGCATCATCTCTTTCCGACTGTCGAATGCTTTACAATTTTACGTGCATTCGTTGATGGTGATTTTTAATATTTTTAATCTTTAACGTTTTGCAAACTGTTCAAAATTAGAATTTAAAAAATGTGGTTTGTAGTGTTTTTCAACAAACTAATAAGAGTGTATTCAGGTCAATAAAAGTCTTTCAATTTTTTTAAATAAAAATGATATCTCAATTGGCCTTTATATTTCTTACAGAAAATGAACATAAAACATTTATTGAAGTGAAGTCTCTCGACAGCTTTTACATAAACGCTCGCACTCTGCTACATGCAAGAAGAAACTGAAACTGAAGTTGAAACTCTTCCTTCACAAGAAACAGCGTCGTGGTCTGAATGAATGAAGAGGCAACATTTCAGAGGCATTCCGATGTTTAACGACCCTTCATGTTTGAAGAACACTTCAAACACTCCACTCATTCAATGGCACTTATTTAGGCAACTACATTTGCTGGGGTTTTATAAGAGGCATTTAGTTGTTCATTGCGAAGTAAGAAATATAATAATTTTTATTTATTCCATTTGCAGCGAAATAAAATTATTCTTCACCACTTGCCGTAACTGAAAATAATTTGGTTTTGCTCAATTTCTAATTTGAACAATGGAAATGAAAAAATTTTAAATTTGAATATTTAATCATATAGATAAAATGTAATTATACAATTTTGATCTACATTTGTTCAAGGTATGAGATTTTCAATGTGAAAAAGAACTATAAAAGTTTCAAGCAGTTGGATGAGTATATCAACAAAGAAACTTCGTATGACGTCACCATAGAAAAAGAATGGTTGACTGAAATAAAGAAACAACCGCACAGCCAAGAACAAACCATGACTCCGGTACAGACGGCAATTCCTCTGCCACAGTACGTGTTCGGCACGATGTCTCCGTAGCCCACGGACAGGAAGGTGATGGCGATCATCCACATGGAGTTCAACAGGTTCTTGTGCTTCTCGGAATGGTGGCTGTGTGTGTGCGAGTGTGTGTGTCTGTGCGTGTGTGTGTGCGTGTGTGTGCATGTGTGTGTGCGTAATAATATTTATTAATAACAATTAAAAGAAAGAGAAATAATCTTATTGTTGAAATAAGGATAAAAAAATAAAAGTTAATGAATGTATAATAGCATTTTTTCAGATAATTATGTTTTTGTTTTTAAATTTGCAGAAAATTTAAGTTGTAAACATTCTTCACTAAAGCCCACTCAAAGTATTTATATCTTTCAACAATGAACAAACTCACAGCTGGTGCATCAAAAGAATTGTTATATACAGGTATATATTTATTCCAGAAGTAACACAAAAGCGTCGTTTATACATAGATGTGACATTAACAAGATATTAAATAACAAGGACATAAATTTATGAATTTACCTAAATTAAATTAAATATAATTTAATAAAAAAATGATTAAATGTCTTTCCACTCGTTCCATTCACATCCATTTCACTTTCTTTTGTTCATGTCAGAAAAGTTGACATTTACATGTTTGTCGTGCGGTAGGCACGCGTGTGTGACATTGTAACATTTCGAAATAAATTTCATGCTAACAATATTATAAAGATTTTCGTAAATTTAAAAATGTAAAGTGGAAAAGCACAAGAACGTATTCACTCACTCACTCACTCACTCACTCACTCACTCACTCACTCACTCACTCACTCACTCACTCACTCACTCACTCACTCACTCACTCACTCACTCACTCACTCACTCACTCACTCACTCACTCACTCACTCACTCACTCACTCACTCACTCACTCACTCACTCACTCACTCACTCACTCACTCACTCACTCACTCATTCACTCACTCACTCACTCACTCACTCACTCACTCACTCACTCACTCACTCACTCACTCACTCACTCACTCACACACACAAACACACTCACACACTCACACACACAAACAAACACACTCACACTTACTCACACACAGACACACACAGATCTGCACGCACATACAAATATATAATTATTCATGTAAATCTATTTGTTTATATAAAATATAAAAATTTCCAATAGCAAGTGCCAGAGTGCCAGACAAGGGTCCCTTATATTCATACATTTAAATATGTCTGCCCTCTATTGACTTCAACTCAGATTGTTGAAGCTTTTTCCAATATTGCTACTTCTTTAGTCGCCCATTTTTTTTAAATGAATAATTTTATTCTCGATTTTGTCTCGTTCGTGAACAGCAGTAACATCTAAAAATTTGTTTCATCTATGGCTGGCATAGATTTTTATATTCCGACTAGCTAAGCAGCTAATTTTGTTGACAACTTTACCGGGGTAGATCGGCAACATCTGAAACAACATTTTTTTGAAATCATACATTTAAACGACAAATTGAAAGTTTTTAATGAGAAAAATTTCTCTTTTTACATCTTGTATTTTTAGGGTATGTGCATTTTCCATAGTCTCTATTATTATTACCATTATCATTATTATTATCATTATTATTATCATCATTATTGCTGGTGATTTTGAACAAGAGAGTCGCTTTTATGTAACACCCTGTTTATTTTAGCAGTATAAGTTTTATTGAGGTTGTATATATTTGAATTTAACGTCAAATTTTAGGATAATTTATAATGAAATAGTTGTGCTTTCAAAATTTTTAACTTTTATGAAAATATTGCACCAAACAATAACGTTAACATTTTTCCGAATTTATTGGTAATAATATTTTACTGATAATCAAAATCATTTGTTAACTTTTTGCGGCAAACCTTGCAAGGTTCGGAAAGGATTGTCACTGCATCAAAGAGTCTGAACATTTTACAAATCTCTCAAGTCCACGAAGTCCGAAGAGGAACCAAACAAGAGCGAGGACAACAATCCAACAACATTCCGACACACATCAACTCCACCAACTACTCCAAAACCATTACCTGGACCAAAGCTGCCCAAATCGTCATCGCATTGGGCAGAAGCCAACGCATTTTTCCATATGGAACTAAAGCGTCTTGAGGACTGTGCAGATGTCGACAGCTTCACCATCTGTTTTCAAGATAAAATCTACTCTTATTTTGCGTCCAGCTGTGTCACATTAGCAGGAGATTAAAAACATGACGAGCACGGAAATTGCGATATTCGACGCTTATAGACAAAATTAAGAAACTTGAAGACATTGGCTCAGACAGGATAGTCAACTCAACAATGACGTCATTGTGCTCAGCAAAAAAAAATAAGGGCAACCTTAAAAACAAAGAAACTAAATAAAAATAGCAACAACATATCAACCAAACCCAAGCAAACTTAACCCTGGCCTGGAAAATAAAAGAGTTTCCATATTATTACTGATATTATTAATACTATTATTGTTATTATTATTATTATTCGATTTACCACATTTTCCGTTTTAAATTTTTTTTATTCCACGTATGCCTCGCACGTTGCATGCTCAACTGATCTCTGTCTGCGTCGGCCAGAGTTTTTTGAAATTTAAAAAATAAAAAAAATTGCATAATAATTAAGGAATACGAAAGTAGTTTTCAATTGTTTATAAAATAAAAGTGCTTAATAGTAACATCATGATAACAAACTATTTGTTAATTATTAAAATATTATAAATATAGGACCACCTGTTAAAACCATTACGCATATTACCTCATCTCCCAACTCTTGCCCATTGTCGAGGTTACTAAATAGTGCCAATTATATGACTTACAAAAATAATGATCATGTATGTGTATATTGTGTGTGTGTATATATGTACGTATGTGTGTGTGTGAGCGTGCGTGCGTGGTAATGTATGTAATTGTGTGCGTGTTATGATATCACATTAAGATCATCATCGAGGTGAAAAATAATTATAACCATTATAATAAATAGAAGCAAATAAAATATCGTATCGTATCGTTTAACCGTAATGACTGGTCACGCAAAAAATGTATAGCCCAACCTCTCACAGGCCCTGAGCGTCCAACTAGCAATCATCCAGAGCGAGAGCATGAAGACCAGTAGGACTGTGCCAGGACAGATGGTCATGAGTGTCTTCAGGACAAACCTCGTGTTGAAACTGATGCGGTTGAGGGCTCCTATGCTCCTCGAGGAGGCATCCGTGAAGAGTTTGCTATGCAGCAGCATCACGCGGCAGATGAGGTACAATCGCAGGAACATAGGAAGACTGAAGATCAAGTCGACTGGGACCTGTTTGTGTGTGTGTGTATGTGTGTGTGTTTATTGTTTATTAAAGGCACAAAAAGTAAAAAAAAGACATAGATAACAAACTTGTTCATATATATATATACTGGCAGACACACGCACGCACGCACACACACATACACACACGCACGCACACACACACACACACACACACAAACCCAAACACACATACATAACGACAAATAATGGTATTAGATTTAAAAAATAAGAAATCAAACAGAAACGCAAACAGACATTCAATCAAGCGAACAATTAGCAAAGCTTAAACAGTCGGCATTCGGATACAAGCGCCCGATTGGATGGTTACTCAGCAGAAGGATTCAAGTGTGTTTATAGGTACTAGCAAGAAGTTTAAGATTTTTTTAAAAAATAATATTAGATTGTCTATGTCTTTAATGTTATAAGGAATTACATTGTTTCAGATTTAAGGAGCAGTTGTTGATTAAGTTTAACCTATATGTGTTAATGTAGAAAGTATTATTTCGCGTATTGATAACAGATTTAATTGGATTTGAATAGTTGAGGAATGCCAAGGAGTATGGAAACACAAAATTTGTCATATAAATTTAAATGTATATATGGTTTGAAGATATAAAATAACTTAATGAATTGATAAAATTTTAGACTTAATGAAAAATTTTTTGGTATTATAGGTAGATTTTAGATTATATGTTGTCCTTAAAAAGCGTTTTTGGCACTGAGTATTTATTTATGCAAATACTACGGACTAAACCTCAGATAATTATTTATCATGTTATATTTATATTTCCATTGTACATGTCCAAACCTTATTAAGTGTATTTTTATTTTATTTAGTAGCTTTGTCAAATTTATGTTTTTGTGCGGTGATGTGTTGTTGGGTGAGTTTTTTTTACGATGAACTGGCATTCTGTTAAATAGTTGATTTTATTAGCTTATTATTATTATTATTATTATTATTATTCATAAGTTGTTGTATAAACAATTCGTAAATTTTATTTTTTGATGTGTGCCCACTAATTAACATGATGGTTCTTGACAAGTGAAACATCAAAATGTCAGCAAATAAAAGTAGGAGCAATGTGGTCACCTGACGCGTGGTCACGTGATCTCCATCGGCGTGCACGGTGGTCCAGCGGAAGTACCAGGCACCAGGAAACGGATGCACACTGCACACGACCAACTCCAGGGACAGTTGAACGATGCGACGACACGTCATTGCTATCCTCCAATCTTCGATGCAGTTGTCCACCGCAAACAACTGCAGTTTGTTTGTTTGTTTAAGCTTGTGTTTGTACGTATATGTTTGTGTGTTTATTTGTTTGTTTAGAGGTGTGTTTGCATGTGTACGTTTGTGTTTGTTTGTACAATGTACACACATGTGCACTCTCTGTACGATGTGTTTGTGTTTGCGTGTGTGATCTACGTGCCTGGGTTTTTACAAATTATGTGCGTTGTTTACTGCCACTATTGCGCCATTTGTTTTCAAAAAAGTTATTCAATCATTTTATTTTTTTAATATTTTTTTTTAATTTACATGAGTGTTCCCTTTTCAAGATATGTATTTATTTATAGGTACATATTACTATAGCAGCCTACATTATCATTCATGTACACATCCCCTCTTGTTTATGTATCATGCGTCATATATTATATATATATATATATATATATATATATATATATTTATTATATGTATGTATGTATATATATATATATATGTAGCGTTATATAAATGTGTATATAAGTATAAACATTTTCTCAATATATTTATTGTTGAGTATTTGGATGTTCGCTCGCTGCATAATTGTCCTGTTTGTTCGTTGTTCGCTTGATTGTGCACAAGTTCATCGTTCACGTGTTTCTTTGTTTGTTAGTACCATTTCATCATTTGTTTTTTTTATATTTGGTTTCACTTGAAACTGATTCCTAATTTGTCAGTGAATTAAGTTTTTTTTTGAAAATTAAAAAAAAATATTTTTTCACACGAACTTGAGTTGACATTAAAATCTCAATAAGTTTGTTTGTTCGTTGAGCTTGTTAGTTCCTCAGTGGTTGTCACATGCTCCCATAACGGGAGCAAAAAAGTTGCACTCTCTTATTTATCTACATTCTTAACGCCCCGAAACTTCGACATCACGGTGATCTTGTATTAAATCCAACTTAAGAGCAATCTGCAAACACTAATCCAAAACATTCCTTACCTTCCAGTTACTGATGCTGGTGCTACTGTTTTATTTTGCCACTTTTTCCAACCACACACGTCTCATTTTTAGTTTTTGTTTCAATAAAGTTTTTCCTCATACCGCGATGACGTAACTGAATGTAATTCCAATTTTATAGACTCTAGCTAATTTTTTTACTTAATTTTTTAAAATTTAACTTAACTTATGAAACAAAAATGACTATTTATATTATTGCAACAAAACCTAATGTAAATAGTAATATTGTGTTGTAGGATATTTCAAAGCACCTCCACAAGAAGGAAACAACACAAAAGGGTCACCATGCACGTCTGTCCATCAGCATTGATTTCCAGTTTGCCCGGTTAGCAAATCGATGGATGTGACTTTCTCCCTTCAGCTGTCATTGCAAATCCCACTGAGTCTTCTCCACGTCTTCACGTCGTTCTTCTTCTTACCATATCGCCTCCTTGCAGCTTTTGTTTCTTCATTCTTTAATAGTTTATGTGTTATGTTTTGTTTTAGGATGATATTTGACTTCCCAACCAATTAAGAAACCTCCTTGCCAAGAAGTTGTCAAGGAGGGTACGCAGACACAACACTATCGACGAGGTTGATGAGGAACGAGGGCAGCATTGAAACTATGTTGCTACGTTTCAAAACGAGAAGAGGGTTGTTAGCAAATGAAACATAACACGCAGCATCGTTTAATGCCTTTCGTTGTTTCCATTGATTCACACGCAGTCCTGTCAAACAATCATTCCAGTCCATACAAATATTTGCGTTGGGAAAATGTTGCAGCTGTTGATCAAAAGCTACCATAAGATTTTTCCAGATAACAATACAACACTGACTTCATGCAAGTGCTTTTTAATTAATCCAGCAAAACTGACCGGAAAGTCCTACATCACGTACAAAGTGAACTCTGCCCTAATCGCAACGCATGTTACGGTGGTAACGAAAATATAAAGTTACAATGTGTTCAAGCAAACTTTCAAAACAAAACAAACAACCTGCATTGCACTCCATGTGGAGGCACTATCAAACAAACAACTCATATTGCATATAAACATGCATAATGGCAGCAATATGCAAATCAATTCAACATTTATGCACAATACAGCAACTCCGTATAACACACAGGCACACAAGAGTTTGCAAGGCTCGTTAAAAGCAGGCAATAACGAATCGGCCACCTACAACGTTAGCAGGAATAACAAATAGATGAATTTTCTGAATGAGGTTCTAGTGATTGCGTCCTCATTGCAAGCAAGCAGCCAGTCAGCCAGTGCCTACAGATTGTGTGTGGAGGTTCTGCTGTCGTGTAATTTGTTGTAACGTGACGTAATCTAGTGCAACGTATTGTTATTTCACGCAACGTATGCATTAAAACGTTGTGTGAAGCACTACTGGATGTCGCATATACTACAATACAATGTGATTCTTTCCAATATGGTGAATTTCAGAATAACATGATGTTGCATGGTGCAACACAACGTAACATAATGCGATACTAGAAATGATGATGCTTTCATTACAATGCAACCCGTGTACGTTGATCTTCGCGCTCGATCCTCGTCTCGTTCCTCTCCCTCTTATCTCGCTAACTTCGCTTCGCAGGTTAGCCAATCACTGAGATAAATTACATTCATTCCAGTATTCAAATGCGTTAGCTCTCTGCTTGCTAGTTCATTCAACGTTTACCCGGGTTGGATCTTTCACTGATTCAAGAACAACGTGAAAAAATATCAGGAAACTATTTAGAAACACGAAAAATGTTCTTACACGTCACATCCATCTCCGAATTTTACTTGAAAAAAATTTAACCGCATGGACAAATTTGTTAAAACAGATGCATATCTATGAATGACTAACTAGAACAAATAATAAGGTGTAATAAAAATTTCAAAAGAAATGACGTCAGAGGGCTGATCAGAGTGAAACGTTAAACATTTATTGAACCTGAACATCTAAAAAAAAATTATTAATAACAAACTAAATAATGAGAAAGTTTAAAAGAATGAAATACCAATTAATAATAACATAAGCAGTAATAGTGTGTCATTTTTACTGGAGAATATAAACGTTTCACATAGTACATACACATACACACACGCGCGCGCATGTACAACATACAACGAACGTATGTTCTTGCGATTGCACGTAACTTGAACGAGCACCGTGATAACATCGATTTCTTCTCCACTCATTTTCAAGAATAATGGCCTGGACTTCATAGGAACAAAAAAAAAGAAAAAAAATATCAAACCTGAAAAGATGAGAAAATAAAAATATCATCATCGGACCTATGGACGCCCTAGAAAACAAACAGACAAGCGTATGGCATACGAAGTTTGCACGTTCATGTTGCACATTTTATTTCAAATTCTATTTCGACACGTTTCTTTTCAATCATATATTAACTTTATTCAATGTATGCGTGGTGTGGTACTATTAGCTCAAACGATATGTCTTTCACGGGCAAGTTTATATTGTCTGAGACAACACGCTAGGCTTCATAGGATGGGATATATCACAGAAAAACTGAATGTCTAAAAATGTATGAAAACATAGGATGCCAAATAACATTTGACTATCAACTTAGCTGTAAAAAAATCAATTTTTATTTTGTGACTTGTATATGTGACATTAAACTTTTGCTATACTTCATTAGCAATTTTTAGTTTATGTTCCTATCAGAAAGAAACGAACACGAAATGTAATGTTGTTAGATTTAGGGAAGGAAGCAGGTACAATGGCAAGCAGACGTCAGCCAGCACACCCTGTCCTCCATGATGAATATTCCAATGAAATTATAAAAATTTCCTCGTTCTGTGTCATAATAACAATGTGTGAACGCAATTACTAGTTGCTGTAAGGATAACCTAGAATGTAATAAGTTGAAATTTGATTAACTTTTTAATGATATTTTGAATCGTCAATTTATTGTAACAAGCGCGATGACGTTTAAAACGAAATTTCAAATTCCTATTTTTATTTTTTTAAAAGTGATTTTTTTATTTAGTTTTGAAATTCTGGAAATGCCTCAACTTAAAGTACATTTTATTACAACATTTGAATGTATCCGAATTAGCGAACAATGGAAGCTTGCTCTGTAACTTGCCTTTTTCTAAAACTGTGTATACGTGTGTAAGTGTATGAGTGTTTATTTGTGTGTGTGTGTGTGTGTGACATGTGCGTGTGTTTGTACGATGTTTGAATTAGATGCACTGATGTTATCTGAGAGCCACTGGAGCGATGGAGAGTTTGATATGAAATGATAAACATCTGCCGCACTTTTTCACGCCTGCCTCCAATTTATCTCACTATAGAAATAAAAAATCTGTCTGGATGGTTAAAGTTTATCATTCCATGGAGTGTTTATATTAATCTGCCAAATTTACTTATATAGAAATACACTGTTAAGCCTTGCTAATATGAAATAATAGTGTTAGTTGTTTTTAGACATATTCATTGATTAATTCGTCCATGAATATATATTTAAATTAATTTATTCAATCGTTTGTTTATTCATTCAAAATGCATACAATGTGATGTGACAATCTAAGTTCCAGATTGAAGCAAATGTGATCCGAAAAAATCGCTGATAAGGATGACACAGTGAGTGAGTGAGAGAGAGAGAGAGAGAGAGAGAGAGAAAGAGAGAAAAGAGAGGAGAGGAACAATTACAAACTGCATTCCCCATCATCGCCTCCAACAGCATCAGACGTCATTTGCATTAATAGAATGTCATCTTGCCTGTTTTTGCATCTTTGGAGATTGGAAAGTAAAATGCCGCCGTGTGCTGTTTGCATTTGCAGTTAGCCTAACTGTGTGCAAACATGAAGTAACGCATAAATTTACTGATTGCAATAAAAGTTTTTTTAAGTATATGTATTTTTTGCACTGGAGATTGCTTCATGTTTCTTCCACGATCGAGACAATATTTTTCTTAACTTTTTTTATCTCCCTATTTGCGAAATTTTCAAGGTTTTATTGGTTTTGTTGCAAAATTATAAAAACAAAATTATTAAGCAATCATAAATCTAATAATTTTAAACAACTGAATAAAACATTA